CCTCTATGATCGGCCATAGAAATCCATAAACACAGCTATAGCCAGCTATAGAATAGTCTATGGTCCTGTGTCTAATGACTGTGAATCAATCAATTTTCTTTACCCGCTAATAGAAAATTCTATCGCCACGAGTCTAAAGACTGGGAATTAATAAATTGTCTTTACCCGTCCATAGAAAATTCTATGGCTCTGAGTCTAAAGACAGGGAAGCAATACATCTTCTTTACCCGCCTACAGTAAATTTTATGGCTCCGAGTCTAAAGACTGGGAACCAATAAATTTTCTCTTCCCGTCCATTGAAAATTTTAGGGCAACGAGTGTAAAAATTCCTCCTCCATGCTCGCGGCGGCAGCGGCAGTCTGCTAAACGATCTACTAAAACTCTCAACACGGGCTTTTGCAGTTTCTGACTTGGGCAACTTGATGTTTTCAAGCGGTCGGATTATATCACCGAAGACAGTGTCGTTTTAGTCGTCTGTTGTGATACCCAAGTCATGGTTCGCGGGCCTTTATCGCTCCCGGCACCTACTTGTTATAGGAAAAACGCCCCAGGTTAGAAGATTAGAGCAATACGAAATTTCTGTAATACCGGTGGCAACGAGTCTATAAAACTAGTGATATTGTTTGCGTGAAAAGTCCATTGAAATACTTGTGCAACAATTAAAATTAATTATTACCCCACCAAAGCTGAAAATAGATTACACTGCAGTCAAGCAATAGCTTGATTGCAATGTTCAACACCAGTGTACTGCATTTGAACACTTCATTCTCAACACGATCCATCAAAGTTATTAGAAAGATAATTAATAAATATTAGTTAATTTGCCTAATTATCTACATTTCCTTTGCTCAGGGTGTTGAATTAAGAGATGGGGGTTATTCCAAGAGACAATTCAAAGAATGTATTAAGTAGGAGTAATATTTGCTCCGCCTCTCCGTGCTTTTGCGACAAATAATGGGTCAATAACAAAGTCGGATTAAAAAAATAGACTGGCATATATTTAGCTAGTGCGAACATAGTATATGTGGAGAGGGGTGGGAGTCCGGTGTCACTGCGTTGTTGCTGTTGTGTGGAGTAGTGGTCTGCTCGTATTCTGTGTGTTCAGATATGTATGTATACCTACCATGTATCGCTCACAAGTCGGGAGAACTTGAAGTAAAATTTATTTTAGAGTTCGCAGGCTAAGACAGCCATAGGGTAAGCCATAGAGAAGTCTTTAGCCAACCATTAGAGAAGCTAAAGAGCGCTATGACTGGATAGCGATAGGGCCATATACAAAACTAAAAAGGCCCATAAAGACGACCATAAAAAAAGTTAAAGACAGCCCTAGAAAATTCTTTAGCTAATTGGGCCAAACAGCTAAAGCCGACCATACAAAGAATTTTCTATAACCGACCATAGGACATTTTTGTATGGGCGTAACTTTCTCTTATTCGCCTATAGATACACAAACTTGCAAAAATAAATGCAATCAGATGCTCATCCCTGAGACAGTGAGGGGCTGCTATGCTATCGCGGTATGGCAACACTGGCTAACGCTGAGTGTGGCCGAACTGACAAACCTGGGGTTTCTATGTATCTCGATAAGGGAGATGCGGGGATTGCCCGTTTTTGTCAGCCGCCGAGGGCGGTCGCCAACTTCATGCCTCAGTGTCACTATCACATCAGTATCCAATGTATTCTGACAGCAGGACCCCAGCTGCGCATGTGCTGCACCCGCGATTCCACACTACTCTTTCTCACTATCTGTATCATACCTTCGTCCGCAAGCTTTCTCCGCTCGGCGAAGGAAACCCCTACGCGTCAGCGACACCCCTAAACGTCTGTCTTAACAGAACATGCTTTCTGCAGTTCACAGCATTTGATGTAACTGAGCTGGAAGTTTTCCTCCGGTCCCGGTCCGCTTTAAAATGACCGTTTTTTTTTTTGTTGTTTTTTTTGCACCGTGAAGGATGTTATTTTCCAATTCCGTCCTTGGAGAAAGGCTAGCATCGTGCTCATCACGCAGTCCGACAGACATTCACGCACTGGTGGCTGCCGATCGTCAAGTCTTTATTTATTGTTACCAGTACTTCCGAAAACACCAAGGGGAAGGAAACGAGAGTGGGGAGGCGAGGAGAAAAACCGTGATGTTTGGATGAATGATGTCCTCACGGAAAACATATGCGCGCCGCTACATTACCATTTTGTAATAGAAAAAATCAAACGTGAACGCATTTTTTGTTGTTGTTGTGCATGGCACTTGGTGTGTTCAGTGTGGACTAGTCACTATAGGTCCTTGGAAAGCAGTGCCATTGCCTTTCTTATCTGCTAGTAGGGCGCAAACAAATACTTACACAAAGACGATCATAACCCTGCAAGGCGATTGGCTGATCGCTATCTGTTGCAACGGGAATCGCCATTTCGGTCTTATGAAACCTTCGAAGCCTGGAAAGGGTCGCTCTGGATCCGCCGCGCCAAGATCGCTATAGAACGGCATTGTAATGTAAGCGTTCCTCGCCAGTAAAGTGTCATTGGCACTGTGTATTCAGTAAAGTTATCAATCATGCTCATGTACATAGATCTCTTACAGTGATATGGTTCTTCTTGCGTATTTGCAAGACAAGAAAAATATTCTTTTTTATGCCGCCATGTACCGACGTCGCATGGGGTGGCAGTGCGAACATGTGCTTTTCTTGAGCCGGTGTGTGAATATCAAAATGTCGGTATTCAAGAAATGTCTTCATAAAGCAACCTGTTACCCCGAATTCGGAACGGTTCATCAAGAATAAAGAGGTCATGGAGAAACTGCTCATTCCAAGGGCCAAAATGACGACCCTATGGATAGCTTAGGTGCTACTTTCCCGGGATTCAGGAACTTTAATGTGGGCTGATTTTCAGCTGACAGGGCGGTGGAAGCGAATTCCTTCTCGCCCCACAAATCAAACGCCTACCTTTTGGTGCCTTACCCCGACCTCTGCCCGATAACATGCAAAGAAAGCGTGATCACGTGGTGAAAAGCCTACTGTCGACTGATTCAACGAGCACGCGGCTTTCACCACCCTGTCAGCTTTTCGGTAAACGGTGCGTGCAACTAAAGACATCAATGATACAGATTACGCTCCGCTCTTTAAGCATGAATGGCGAGATCGTTCTCGACCGCGAGCTCACCACTCCTCCCTTTCTAGCCCCCATAGGGCCGCCGCGATGTTCATCCAGGTCAAAAGAGGCAGGCGTGGGCAAACATGCCAGTTAAATGCATATATTTACGCCACTAGGCAAGAATTGACTTCATTCGATGAGTCACGTAACTTCCGGCCTCGAAGTACATCAACACGCCCTTCGAAACTACCTACGCGCGTGCACTGACACAATTGAACTGAGTGGAGTTGATTGAATTGATTCGTTTTATTTCTTAGCGCCAACTCACTCGTGTTGTCGGCGTTACAAAAAAAAAGTAAATAAAAGGTTACGAAGTGTGTTACTGGTTACTTGCAAATAAAGGAACGCTCTACGGACCCACGTTACCTCAAAATAAAAGGAGCGCGTTACCATTACCTTTACCAACAAATGTAACGCAATTAACTTTTGCGTTACTTGCTGATTATGAATTAGCACATTTTAATCTGTTTAACGTCAGAGGTATGCAGAAGAGCAATATTTCAAGAAACATCATGTCCAGGCAGAAACATAACTGCCTTATCTCTTCTTATGGTTTCACCTAAATAATAATAAGAAGAAAAAAAAACGCAAGGAAAGCGCCAAAAACGTACAAATCAGCATGGCTTGGCACCTAGACGAACGAAAATATTCAAGTGTAATATTTTGAAACCTTATGAAGAATAGGCAACGAGTCACGCAACTACTTTACCCGTATACTCGAAATAAGCAACGTCAGTATACGTTACCCGTAACTGTATTGAAAAAGTAACGAGTACGTTACCCGTTACCAAAAAAGAAAAAAAAGTAACGCGTTACCGCCAACACTGATTTATGATCATAATTGTTTTTTTGTGAAAGCAATTGTTCTTTTACACCAACTGTAAACTGTAACGTAGCCAGCTTGAGACACGCAGGGCTGGCTTATGATGTTCATTTGTTCATTTGAAAATATCTCCAATTCCAAAATGAACTGGAAGGAAAGGGCACGAAATACAAGAATATTGTATCCATCATAAGTGGCATTCCAAGGTCGAAACGTACATATAAATGCTATTAAACAGTGTCTAATAAATAGCAAAATCCGAATTCATGTTTATAACAAACATACATTAAGAAACATAGCAGGCCAGCCCTGGTTATACAACGGAAACAAAAAGTAATCTTACATCACTGATCTCCATGTGACAATTAAGGCATCTAGATGTGCTACGAATTGGGTTATTGTGGCGCTGCTAGCGATGGAACGATCGAATTCGTTCCATTCTCTGATGACTAAGGGAAGAAAAAAAGAGGACCGACAACACGCTACATGCATCGTTATTCGTTAATTGGCGTTCTGTGTGGGCAAGTCCCGGCAGTCTTATTCACTCTGGAGCGATAATAAGGTGATCGTAACTCGCCACGCTCCTGTGTTTCCCAAGATATCGATTGTATTTTGAAGTTTACGGCCTTCATAATTTATGCGCCGACTCACATCCGCGATGCATTGCATCATCTGTAGCTACTAGATCACATTTCTTCCTCTCGTCGCTTTTCCTGAAACAGTCGTAATCTTCCCTTCAGCTTAAGTCAAGACGCAGCCGACGCTGCCAGGTACAAATCAACCAATCAAGCAGCGTCAAAACCGCAAAGTCACCAGGCGTTTTTTTGTTTGTTTATTATTGGTTCTGCTATAACAGAACAAGTACAGAAACACGAAGAACACCATGATGATGCCCTTTGAATGCCGTCTGGTTGGTTCCGTCAGCTCGTAGCGTCCGCTGCGTCTGGACTTAATGTGAAACAAAGCATAGTATTGGCGCTCGATAGTCTTAGCGAATAGGTGAACCAATTGCTGTATTTGGCCCATTTCCGCGCAGGTTCTCGGACGCGACTCGGAGCGTGGAGCTGTCAACTCGGGACGGTGGCGACACGGAACTCCGTGGAACGGAGTTGGCGTGTCCGGCCATGGGCGCGGCCACCGTGGACCTGTCGGATCTGCGCTGGCGCTACTCCGGACGCCAGAGGCACTCGCTCTTGCTGGCCTCGCTCGGAGCGCTGCTGGGCCTCGGGGTTGCTTTCCTGCTCCTCGTGCTCGTCTTCTACCCGCACGTGAGTACTGCCCTGATCGGAAAAACAAACCACAATGCCGAGATTTCAAAGTATCTCCAACTGCTCTGTCGGGGTTCACGTGGTTTAAAGGCTGCGTGTGCGGCACGAGTTGCGAGGAGCCTCCGATTTTCCGCCCTTTTTACTTTTCGCCACGCCACAAGGAAGCGCACGCACACTTGGGGCCAATCTGTCCAGGAGGGGTCCTCCATTAAACTACAAACCTTTACTACGATTTGAGTTGACCAGACCCTTTTAAACCCTCAGGACCGTGCAGTGGCTGTCTACATGCTCCAATATATCCGCGCTAATGGCGGCGCAAAGTCGCCTAACTTCAAACACCTCCTACTTCGGGAATGAAAGGCGGCTCTACCTTGCGAATAGAAAGCGGCGTAAAATATTCAATTTTTAGAATTGATATCATTATAATACTTTTATTAGAGATCTGCTTTCTGGTCGGCTGGCTGGCTGGCTGGCTGGCTGCGCTATGTTGGTCCATGGAATGAGCAGTTTCTTTTTGACATCTATATTCTTGGTGAGGCGATCATAATTATCGCCTACAAGTTTCTTTATAAAGACATGTCTTGTTTACCGAGATTTTCTTATCCAGCGAAACAAGCGCGCATCTTCTGACCGCCACTACATGCGGCGCAAGTGCTCGGTGACATTTAAACATAATGTCCCTGGCTTGAAATACGTGAGAGAAATAGAATTGTAAGATATCAGTGGAGATAAGCATGTTTGATAATTTGATAGTATATACGGGGTCAAACACGCTTTCATGGGTGAGGCACGCTTTCGGTAGGCTGACGCCTCATTGCGATCTTGTCGCAACTAGTTAGGAAGGACAATTTCGAAATTTAAAAGATTTGAAAGGACCAAAATAGCGATTCCCATGGCAACAAAGATCTTTCAGTCAATCGCCTTTCGAGGTTTTGGTCATCTGTATTTTAGTAGTGGTTAGTGTCCGGCTAGCAGGTTCAGTAGCGCTACTTTCCCAGGATCCAGCGATTTTTTTGCCACCATTTGAGCGACGGGTATCTCTCTGCACAGGGTGGGCAGACTGACTTCTGAAAAGACCCTATTGGGGACGTCTAGAGCTTCTGTACATTCTACGCCTCATGGTAACAACGCTTCAGGTATCTTGGTGCCGAAAATCAGGGTTGCCACTTTTACAAAGCTTGACCCGAAATAGCAGCTAACGACTTCCTCTAGTCTGCAAACCCTGAAGCAGTGTGCGACAGAGCAAAATGACATCGCCTGAGCTTGCTGAAACCGTGTTGAAACCACAGGAAGTCCCATGTTCTATTAGTAACAATTGTCAACTGTTCCCGATCTGCATTGAAGTGGCACTGAACCACGAATATGTGTGTATATATCGAGAGCAGTTGACAATTGTCAACTGCTCCCGATCTCCCGGTCCCGGCCTGCTCCTGACAATAGACGATTTGCAATTTTCCCAAGCGCCCCGGCCCGGGCGCCAGGATTTGTGGGAGAGACTGTCCCTCGCCTGGCCGCTCTGCCTTAAGATCGCATTGCCTTGTCGATTGCCTCCTCTTAAACCTCTGTTTTTCGATTGCATTACCAATTTTTATCTGTTCAAGTGTATTTTGTATTGCTTCTAAGTGTGCCTATTCTCTTCTGCACGCTACATTTCTTGTATCTATCTATCTATCTATCTATCTATCTATATATATATATAGTATTTGTGTCTTTATTTCGCCTTTTCGAGGGGAGTGCCGACGGACAACACGCCGTTTCGCGCGTCGTTTCCCGGGTGAGTACTACCTTTGCTATATATTCCTATCGCGGTGTTAGCTGTTCATCTTGGTTTATTTCACTCGCGTGCAGTTGAGAGTGGCCGTCTATGAACTTCCGAGCACATGTCATAGGGGTAGGCAGAGCTCCGAATGAACAATCGCGACGTGAGAGCCGAGTGCGCTGTGATTTGGCCGCCCGCGCTCGCCCTGTTGACTCGCACTGTAGCGTATGCCTTCGAGTGCCGCTTGCTTGACCAAGATACAGCACGCGGCTTTGTCGCCGCAAATAATTTGTCCTAATGTTTGCGAAGCTGAGGCATATTGCAACGCTGCGGCGCCTGACAACTGCACGCTGCGGCGCGAGCCCTTCGCAAGCTCCGGTGGTTCAACGTCGCGGCTTGTATGCGTCTTTGGCATGCATTCATGATCAGTCTCCTCGGCGGTTGTCAGTTGCTGACATCTTGACTCGAGAAATAAAATTATCGAAGGAACAACGAGTTTCAAGCCTGGGTGACAGCACATCTCTGCATTTGCAAAAGGGTGTTCGCAACTGACAACCGCTTAGCAGATAGATTAAGAAGGCATACCATAAGCCCACAGAAGCTGCGACGTTGGGCCACCGGCGCTTGCGAAGGGATCGCGCCGCAGCGTGCAGTTGTCAGGCGCCGCAGCGTTGCAATATGACTCAGCTTCGCAAACATTCGGACAAATGGTTCACGGCGACAAAGCGGCGTGGTGTATCTTCGTCAAGTAAGCGGCACTCGAAGGCATACGCTACAGTGCGAGTCAACGGAGCGAGCGTGGGCGGCCAAATCACAGCGCACTCGGCTCTCGCGTCGCGACTGTTGATTCGGAGTTCTGCCTACCCCTATGACATGTGCGCGGGTGTTCATAAACGTCTCCTCTCGACTTCACGCGGGTCAAAAGAACCAAAATGAACAGCTAACAGCGCGATAGGAATCGGCAGCAACGTTAGTACTCCCCCGGGGAACGACACGCGAAGCGGCGTGTTATCTGTCGGCACTCCCGTCGAAAAAGGCGAAATAAAGACACACATACTATATATATCTATACAAGAAATATCGCGCGCAGAAGAGAATATATACACTTATAAGCAATGAAAAGTACACTGAAATAGATAAAAATAGGTAATGGAATCGAAAAACAGAGGATTAAGAGGAGGCAAGCGACAAGGCAATGCGATCTCAAGGCAGAGCGGCCAGGCGAGGGACAATCTCTCCCACAATTCCTCGCGCGCGGGCCGGGGCGCTTGGGGGATTTCGCAAAAAGTCTATTGTCAACTGCTCCCAGTCTGCTCCTGAGACAGACCTTTCTCGAGACCAGTCTCGAACAAGGTCTGCCTCAGGCCGAAACGTCGACGAACTTTACGAATAATATGTTCTGAAAAAATCCAACAATCGTCTCAAGTGCGTTTTCTGCCGTATATACTTTTCTTCATGCTGCGCTATGTTTTTTTTTCCTCACCCTCCCTATTTATATAGTCTTTTTTTTATTCTTTACATATCTGTTTAAAAATTAAAAAAAATCATGAACGCTACACTTATATGGTTTGTGCGAGCCAGTTATACGGCCAGGGGGACATTATGTGAGTGGTTAATCTATGCGATAAGTCTGATAATTAAGTAAAATTTGTTAATTAGCTTTTTAATTAGCGAAAATAGTCGTATGGTTCCAAATAGAAATTTTCTGAGCGTCGTGCAAAACCCCTCAATCAGTAATTCTAGAAAGACTTTGGGGGCGTAAGAAGCGCAATTGTTCGCTAAAGTTACCACTCGTGGAGCAGATACAAGGCTGAGGCTAGATAAGAGACGGATAAGTTGCGCGGGCGCCTCACCGCAACCGCTAGCCTTGTGCCTGCTTCACCAGTGGCAACTTTAGTGCACTACCTATATGCTTCTCACGCGCTGAAAGTTTTTCTGAAAATGACTGATTTAGTGCAGCTTAAAGAAAAAAAAACACCCTATGTATATATATATTGTAAACAAAGAGGGGAGAGAGTGATTATTAAATTTATCACATCAAAGTTAGGGGAACGGAAAGGAGAAGAGTGCTGGCAAAACATTGGGCAAGGAGTCTGCCAGTAGTCTTTCCCTTTCCCTTCCCTAACTTTGATGTAATAAGTTTAATAATCACTCCTCCCCTCTTCGTGTACAATATTACTACGGCTGCACTTGTCAATCTTGTCTCACTCCCGGTATATATATATATATATATATATATATATACTCTCTAATTTATCAGAGGATTGGACGTGATATTTAGACACCCCCTGAAAATGTGAGGCCAAACCATTGTATTTGCGGAGAAAACACATCTTTCCAGAAATTCGATTCGAAGTGGCCGCGCTCCTAGCTGACGTCAATGATGGTTGGGCGCATTTTTTGCCATTCTTTTCTGCTGTTTTTTAGCCGGAAGTGTCGTTCGTCTTGCCCTCTTTCCTCGTCGATCAGGCGTCGACAATGCGACCGTAAGCGGACGACGCGTCAGTAGCCAGTTTCGATGTATTGCTCGTCTATACTGTTCTGTTAAGCGTTCCAAAACACTTTCTGAAGCGGTGCAATTGAAGACGAAGTGCTTCAGACTTTGATGAGCGACGTGAGGGGCGATGTCACGTCGGTGCTGCTTCAATGGCTGTCCGGGCACTGGCACATCCGAAAGTGTTCTCTACACGAGCTTCCAAAGAATGGAGGGAGAAGCAGTCGTGACTGGAAGCGATTGCTGCGTGGAAACTGATCGGTGCATGCAACGCTATCTCACCAGACTGCACTCGAGGCATCACAAATCAGTAGAAGGCGAAAGTGCCAACGACTCTGCGACGTATGCTCATCGGGATCTTCTAGCTGTCCATCAGGCGTCTCGTACAATACCAGACCCAACCCCTCGTAACCTTCAACTTATTCCTTCTCAAAGTCCGAAATGTGATCGGGACCGAAAAAGACACGTGATCCTGTGAGCCGTCGCCAACGTCGCGCTCGCTTGCGGCACAACCATCGGGCGCCATCATATTGAGATCAAAGCAAAGATGGCAAGAAGAAAGCAGACGACGTCAACGGGTTGACGTCTTGACGGAGCCACATCGTAAATATAATTTTTACATTTCGAATTCAGCGTCGTCGTGCGCAAGCCAAGTTCGTAGAAAATGTTTCATGCACGGCATTAATATATATGTTTCAACAATGCAACTTTTGCAATTTCAGAATGTCTGCAAATTCAACTATCGAT